TTGAGGTCTCACTGTAATTAGGTAACATCCTACCAAAAGTGAAATAACCACACAAAGAAAAGATCAGTGTATGTCACAGTGGATGGGGCTGAATGAATGGGAGCATCAGCGGCCAGCAAATCTCACAAGGCAGAGTCATTTAGGGTCATCGAGCTTAAGTCTTGTAGCAGTGTTAATATTAACCTTTTCTATTTGAGAATTTCATACCATTCTGTAAAAAAAAAAAAAAAAAAAAAAAAAAAAAAAAAACCCTAATGGATTTATAGGCCCTAAGTTCTCCTAATTCTTGAACCAAATTTACTGTTATTTGAGGGGAGGAAACTACGTCATTTCCCAACAGTCAGAAAAACACCATTGCCTCTAACTTTCCAGAATACCAAAAAGCCCATTTCTCTGCAAGTGAATGGGACTCTTCAATCAATGGGACTTCCTGTCAGGAAGACCAGGAATAGGATTTCTATAAGATGATAATGACATTTAGCAAGCACTTTTCATATATCAAGATACTAGGCACTGAAGACACATGTTGAAGCCAGCACCACATGCGCTCTGAAATTATTTATATAAAATATGAATTTTACATGTCTGTATGTATAACAGCGTATTCATATATGCTTTTTCTATACATATATGTATACACACATATATAAAAAAATAGCATAAATATGTACATATATAATATATACATTTACATATTTGCATATAGACAGATATAAAGCTACATAAAGATATACATGTACGTATAGAAGAGAAAGAGAAAAGAGGAAGATGAGATAATTTCTTATACTTAGGTCACTGACTGCCTACAGTACTGTTTTTCACTTATAAGGCCATTAGAACAATTTTACAGGTATTTCATAAAGAAAAAATATCATAGTTGTATAGTTTACATAGCTTATTACACTGTCACATTTTTTCCCATTTCTTGTGGTAAAATATGATTAACATAAAATTTACCTTCTTAACCATTTTTAAGAGTACAGTTCAAAGGCATTAAATACCTTTATAATGTGTACAACCATCACCACCTTCCATCTCCAGAACACTTTTCATCTTGTGTAAAGAAACCAAAACCACTCAACAATAACTCCCCCTTTACCATGCCCCCAGCTCCTAGCAACTATCATTCCATTTTCTGTCTCTATGATCTTAACTATTCTAAGTACTTCATGGAAGTGGAAACATACAGTAATTATCTTTTCGTGACTGGCTTATTTCACTTAAGCAAAATGTCCTGATTCATCTACGTTGTATCATATGTCAGGACTTCCTTCCTTTTTAAGGTTTACTAATGGTCCTTACACATTTGCTCATCTATTCATCCTTCAGTGGGCCTTAGGTTGCTTCTATGTTTTAGCTATTGTGAAAAATACTGCTATTATCATGCAGTATTTATATATTTGCATGATATATGCAAAGAGGAATTTATATCCCTCTTTAAAGGTTTCCTTTGAATTATTTTGGGCATATACCCAGAAGTGGAATTACTGAATACAGTAATTGCATTTTTAAGACACTACTATGCTGTTTTCCACAGTGGCTATATTATTTAACATTGCCACCAACAGTGCACAAGAGTTCCAATTTCTCCACATTCTTGCCAACACTTGTCATTTTGTTTTTGTTTTCTATAGCAGCCATTCTAATGAGTGTGAGGTGTACCTCATTGTAGTTTTGACTTATATTTTCCTAATGGTTATTGGTGCTGAGTATCTTTGTATAAACTTCTTAGCCACTGGTATATCTTGTTTGTAGAAATGTTTATTCAAGTCCTTTGCCAATTTTTGAATCAGGTTGTTTTTTAGTGGTTGAGTTTTAGAAGCTCTCTATATATTCTGGTTATTAATCCCTTATCAGATATGTGATTTGGAAATATTTTCTTCCATTCTGTTGGTTGTCTTTTCACTGTGTTGATAGGATCTTTTGATCCAAGAAAATTTAAAATTTTCATGAAGTTCAATTTGTCCATTTTAAAAAAATTTTATTGATGCCATATCCAAGAATCAAAACTTTTGCCCTATGTTATCTTCTAAGAGTTTTACTAAGTTTTTTTAATTTTTAAGAGATAGGGTCTTGCTTTGTTGCTGAGGCTAGAAGGCAGTGGCACAATCATAGCTCATGCCACCTCGGAGTCCTGTGCTCAAGCGATTTTCCCGACTCAGCTTCCTGAGTAGCTGGGACTACAGGTGTGTACCATGACCAGCATTTTTTTTTTTTTTTTTTTTTTTTCTCCATTTGTTGTAGAGACAAGGTCTCACCATCTTTCCCAGGCTGGTCTCTTAACACCTGGGCTCAAGTGATCCTCCCTCCTCAGCCTCCAAAAGTGCTGGGATCACAAGCATGAGCTACCATACCTGGCCAGAGTTTTACTGTCTTAGGTTTCACATCTATAACTTTAATCCATTTAAAGGTAATTTTTGTATATGGTGTTAGGTAGGATTCAACTTCATTCTTTTGAATGTGGATATACAGTTTTCTCAGTACCCTTTGTTGAAAAGGCTGTCTTCTCCCCCACTGAATAGCCTTAACATCCTTATCAAAAGTCATTTGACCATATGTGCAAGAGTTCATTTCTAGGGTCTCTATTCTACTCTGTTGGTCTACATTTCTGATTTTATGCCACTACCATACTATTTTGATTACTGTAGCTTTGTAATAAATTTTGAAATTGGGAAGTGTGAGACCTACAGTTTTGTTCTTCTTTTTCAAGACTGTTGTGACTATGTGGAGTCCCTAGGCTTTCTCTATGAATTTCAGAATGGCTTTTTTCTTTTTTTTAGTTGTTGCGCTGAATCTGTAGATTGATTTGGGTCCTGCTGACATTTTAACCATATTAAATCTTCTAATTCATGAACATAAGGTATGTTTCCATCAATTTATGTCTTCAGTTTCTTTCAGCAATGCGTTACAGTTTTCACTGAACAAGACATTAAGTCTTTTATTCTTTTTGACGTTTTATAAATGGAATTTCTTCATAATCTTTTCACATTGTTATGTTAATATACAGAAATGCAACTGATTTTTGTATATTGACTTTTATTTTGCTACTTTGCTCAATTTAATTACGTGTGCACACGTGCGTGTGTGTGTGTGTAATCTTTAAGATTTTCTCTATATAAGATCATATAATCTGCCTTTTAACTCTTTTACTTGCCTAATTGCTCTAACTAGACCTTCCAGTACTACAATGCATGGAATTGGTAAAAGCTGGCATCCCTGCCTTGTTCCTGGTACTAGAGGAAAAGTGCTCTGCAGGAAAAGTGCTCAGTCTTTCACCATTGAGCATAACGTTCACTGTTAGTTTCTCATGTATAGCTCGTATCATGTTGAGGTAGTTTCCTTTTATTCCTAGTTTGTTGAGTTTTTATGATGAAAGGGTGATGAATTTTGTCAGATTTTTTTTTCCTACATCAATTGAGATGAACAAGTGTTTTTCTCTTCATTCAGTTAATGTGGTATATTACAACAATTTATTTTCATATGTTGTACCATGTTTGCATTTCAGGAATAAAAGGTAATAATAAACATGGTAAATAAAATAATTTGGTCATGGAATATAATCCCATTAATATGCTGTTGAATTTAGGTTGCTAGTATTTTCTGAAGAATTTCTGCACAATGATCACAAGAGATATTGGTCTGTAGCTTTCTTAGAGTGCTTGTCTGGCTTTGGTACTGGGGTAATGTTGGCCTCATACAGAATGAGTTAAGAAGTGTTTCCTCCACTTCAACTTTTTTTTAAAGTGTTAGAGGAACTGGTATTGGTTCTTAAATTGTTTGGTAGAATTAACCAATGAAGCCATCAGGTCCTGGGCTTTTTAAATCAAGAGCTTTTTGATTACTGATTCAATTTCCTTAGTTACATGTCTAGTCAGATTTTCTATTTCTTCTTGATTTAGTCTTTGTAGGTTTTATGTTTGTAGGAATTGGCCCATTTCATCTAGGTTATCTGCTTTACTGGCATACAATTATGTTCCCAGTACTCTTATAAATAAAAGTACTACTTTTTGTTTCTGTACAATCAGTAGTAATACCCCTACTTTCTTTTCTAATTTTATCAACTTGAGTCTGCTTACTTTTTTTTTCTTGGTCCACATAGCTAAAGGTTTGTCAATTTTGTTGATCTTTTCAGAGAACCACATTCTTGGGTTTGTTATTTTCTCTATATGTTTTATTCTCTATTTTGTGTATCTCTGCCCCCTACTCTTTTATTTCCTTCCTTTTGCCAGCTTTGGGTTTAGTTTGTTCTTTTTCTAGCTCCTTAGGTTGTTGGCTTGAGATTGTTCTTGTTGTTTAAGGTAGGCATTTATAGCTATAAAATTACCCCTTACTACTGCTTTTGCTGTGTCCCATAAGTTTTGGTATGTTGTGTTTTCATTTTCATTTGTCTTTAGGCATTTTCTAATTTATCTTGTAATTTCTTCTTTGAATCAATAGAAGTTTAAAGAGTGTGTTAATTTCCACAATTTTGTGAACTGTCCAGTTTTACTTCTCTCTCTAATTTCTAACTTTACCTCATTGTGGCTGGAGGTACATACATACCTCATTTTGTATGATACCTATCTTTAAAAATATATTGAGACTTAATCTGTGCCCTAACATATTGCCTATCCTGAAAAATGTCCCATGTGTACCTGAAAAGAATGTGTACATTCTTGTTAGGTAAAATATTCTGTAAATGTATCTGTTAGATCTAGTTAGTTTACTGCGTTAAGTCTTCTATTTCCTTACTTATCTTCTGTCCATCACTGAGAGAAGGTACTGAAGTCTCCAACTTCGTTATCACAGAACTGTCTCTCTCTCCCTATCAGTTTTTTCCTTTTATGTATTTTGATGGTCTGTCATTAAGTGTATAAATTGCCACCATTTAGGTATTCCCCGACATTCTACATGCAAGATGGCCACGGTTGGCAAGGAGAGATGTCACTAAGGGGCTTGCCTGAAACGAGGGGATTCTAACATTTTCAGAGAACCTTTTGGAAAGAAGTCTACTTCAATAAATGAAGGAGAATAAAGAAAATTCAAGCCCTTCAGTAACTTCAGCAAATCTGGATCACACAAAACCATGTTGGCACTAGGATAAGAAAGACTTGGCTCATACACCCTCACAACTGGAAGGACTTGATCCAGCCACTGAGGCCCGGTACCGCCGAGAGGGCGCTCGGTTCATCTTTGATGTGGGCACACATTTGGAGCTACACTGATACCCTGGCAACTGGAATAATTTATTTTCATGGCTTCTATATGTTTCATTCCTTCAAGTGATTCCCAAGATATATGACAGGAGCCTGTTGCCTCTTTTTGGCTGGGAAAGTAGAAGAAACACCAAAAAAATGTAAAGATATCATCAAAACAGCTCGTAGTTTATTAAATGATGTACAGTTTGGCCAGTTTGAAGATGACCCAAAGGAGAAAGTAATGGATCTGGAGAGAATCTTACTGCAGACCACCAAGTTTGATTTACAGGTGGAACATCCATACCAGTTCCTACTCAAATATACAAAGCAACTCAAAGGTGATAAAAACAAAATTCAAAAGTTGGTTCAAATGGCCTGGACATTTGTAAATGACAGTCTCTGCACCACCTTGTCACTGCAGTGGGAACCAGAGATCACAGCGGTAGCAGTGATGTATCTCGCAGGATGTTAGTGCAAATTCAAAATACAAGAAGGGACCTCCAAACCCATATATAGGAGATGGTGGGAGCAGTTTGTTCAAGATGTCCCAGTCGACGCTTTGGAAGACATATGCCACCAAATCCTGGATCTTTACTCACAAGGAAAACAACAGATGCCTCATCACACCCCCCATCAGCTGCAACAGCCCCCATCTCTTCAGCCTACACCACAAGTGCGGCAAGTACAACAGTCACAACCGTCTCAAGGCTCCGAACCAACCCTGCCCCAGCAGAAGGACCCCCAGCAACCAGCCCAGCAGCAGCAGCCAGACCAGCAGCCCAAGAAACCCTCTCCACAGCCCAGTTCTCCCCGACAGGTTAAGCAAGCCGTGGTTGTGTCTCCCAAAGAAGATAACAAAGCAGCAGAACCATCACCACCTAAAATTCCCAAGATTGAGACCACTCACCCACCGTTGCCTCCAGCCCACCCACCTCCAGACCGGAAGCCTCCCCTTGCTGCTGCCTCACGTGAGGCTGAGCCACCAGGCCCTGTGGATGCCACTGACCTCCCCAAAGTCTGGACTCCTCCTCCGGCCACTGCTGCCACACTGGCCCTCGCCCTTACCCACCTCTAGCTACATAACTGGGATGCCCACCACCAGCTCCTACATGTCTGGAGAGGGCTGGCTACCAGAGCGTGCAGTTCATGATGAAGGCTGAGGGGCCCTCCTACAGCGCCCTGCCCCCTGCCTATGGCCCGCCCACATACCCCATGTCTACCCGCCCAACCCACCCCTGCCGCCTGTGCCTCCTCCCCCGGCCTCCTTCCCCCTACCTGCCATCCCACCCCCTACTCCTGGCTACCCTCCACCCCTACCCACCTATAACCCCAACTTCCCACCCCCACTCCAGCACCTGCCCCCTACCCACGCAGTCCCCCCTCACCCTCCTCCAGGCTTGGGCCTGTCACCAGCTAGCTACCCACCTCCTATTGTGCCCCCTGGAGAACAGCTCCCTGTGCCCCCACCCATTCCCCTACCCAGCATGCCTCCAGTTGGGGGGCTGGGGCGGGCAGCCTGGATGAGATAATGTGAGGCTTCCCCCCCATTTTTGTTTTTTTAAACAAGTTTTTATAATCGACTTGCAGAGTAGTTGAAGTGGGGAAGCAGCAGGGTACCTTGTATAATGTGTGACCATTGCAGTATGGGAGGAATGGACCAGGCCCCTGGGATAGAATCGGAGTGGTCCTCATCTGGAGGACAGGGACAGCCAGCTTTCAGAGTAGCCTCATCAGTACCCTTGCAGTCTGACCATGTACACTTGGTTCAGTTCACGTCTGAGAGTCCTGCACTGGGTTACTTTATACTAGTGAAGATGTTAACCAGCCATATTGGCGCCATAAATAGCTTCGGTAAGGAGTTAATTTCCTTCTAGAAATCAGTGCCTACTTTTCCAGGAAACTCAATTTTAAATAGTCCAATTCCATCTGAAGTCAAGCTGTTGTCATTTTCATTCAATGGCGTTCTCTCCCATGACACCCAGAAGGGTCGGAAGAACCACATTTTTCATTTATAGATGTTTGCAACCTTTGTATTAAAATTGTTTTGAAGGGGTTGCCTGTTGGATGGCTTTTTTCTTTTTGCTCCAGGGAGGAGGAGAGAAATGTATTTGGAAAGGAATGTATGTTTACATCTATTTGCAAATTCCTGTACACAGAGATATATTTTTTAAGTGTGAATGTAACAACATACTGTGAATTCCATCTTGGTTACAAATGAGACTCCTTCAGTCGGTTATCCAAATAAAAGCAGTTCTGAAACTAAAAAAAAAAAAAAAAAAAAAAAAAAATTGCCACCATTTAAAATTGTGTTAGGTAGCTTCATTATAGCCATAAACGGATAATGTAATGAAGGAACACCCCTCCCCTAGCTAAGTGAGCTAAAAAAAAAAGACCGTTTTTGCTTATCGTTAATACATGTGTACACATACACCACACACTCATATACACAACACCACATCTACACTGAAATTCATCTTCCCCCTACTCTCGTCAGTGCTCGTCTAACTGCTCTGGCAATGAACAGACATAGGCTGTCAGAAGCCTTTCATTTAAAGCTGTTGTTATATATTCTATAACAACAACACAAAGGATAAGAGACCTAAAGTTTCAAGTTTTATTTGTATCATTCATAAATCTATGATCTTTACATAAAACTAAAAAATAGGAAACAGTTGAGAATTTTAAATTGTATATAAAAACTACAATTCAACAAATTGTACTCTTTGAGTGCTTTCAAGCCAACAGAAAAAGCACAATAGACTAAAGAGAAGCAGAGAAACATCAATGATTATCAGAATTAGACTAATGCCAGATATAAAGGTAGTGGGAAAAATTCATTTCCAACTAGCTCATAAAAATAGGCATAAATTTAGATTCTCTATTAAAGAAAGACATTAATATCTCCTACATGTTTGATGAGCTTTGCTAGTAACATTAAATTGACTTTTTTATATCTTTAAAGAGCTAAATACTTCTAAGGACAATTTTTGTATAAAAGGCTGTATAGAAATAATCTGCATCATGTATTACTAATAAAATATTTGTGATTAAGCACCTATAAAATTTTTTCTGTATAAACATCTGGACAGAAGGTCAATTACCAGAAGACAGTTACCTGAATACAACAAGTATATTTTTCTGACTACAGAGCAGGTATAGCATGGACTACTACAATGCCAAATTTTCCCATATTACACATCTCTGGACTTGCAAGTCTAGCATGGTGACTCCACAGATAACTTTTTCTTCATTCCTATTATTATCTCAAGATGAAAACATACATATACATCTAATTCTAAGAATAAAAACACCTGCATGAATGTCAACTCTGCAATTACATATCTGTTTGAATTTAAGAAGTGACTTAGATATAAAACAGATCTATAACTACAAACATCAGAACTATTTCATCCCAGTAACCCAATTTTCCAAAATGTAATAGCCATAGGGACAGTTAACTTGTATTTTAATGTTTGATTTCTTTCTTTAAATTTAGCAAAAAGCAAAGAATTTAGATTGATGATGTTAACAAAAACTTAGAAATAGTAACTGTATTTCTCAGAAGAGATCTATTCTGAAAATTATATAGAGGACAATTTGGACAAAATTATTTCGTAAGACTTATCAACAAAATAAAATCTTGGGAAAAGAAAAAAAAAATTAAGTAAATTTTAAAACATCTTGTGAATAAAAGGTTAAAATGATGGCCATCCATGGCATGATAGAAAACGAACATCTGCAACAGCTCTCACAGATCTTTTCCTCAGCCTTCAAACTCCGGATTAGCAAAGTGGTTGAAGTGAAAGTAACACAATAGTCCAGAGGTATCTGCTTCCATGCTTAGAAATTCTACACCTTTGTCCTATCCCCTCTCTACCCAGTCATCTGGTCGTTAGACCCTCAAAATTTGCCAAACTCTGTGGTTCACCATTTATCCAACCTAAATATCATTTTCTTCTTCTCCTTTATTCCATATTAAATCCCTGTTCTCCAACCTATTGCCACCCCTTGTCCACATCACCTCCTTTCTGAGTTAAAGGAGTAGACATCTAACAGTCCTCTTTATCCCCAATTCCACCTTACTTTAATTCACTCACAACAATTACATCAAGTCACTCTCCTCTTATCAATGGCTTCATGACATCAGTCAATCTCTCTGAAGTTCATTTACTCATCTGGAAAGTGGTACAGGACAGTGGATGACCATGTATCACTAGACATTAACATATACTATAGAGATTAAATATGGTAACACATGTAGATCTCCCAGGCATAGCTTGATACATATCCTAAAAATCCATGAAGTAAAATGGATTTTAGTCCTATATCCCAATTAAACTACTAGACATTATTATTTACTGTTCTACCTGCACCTCAAACTTACGTCTAAAACCCAAACACATCTTCCCTACTTCCCTATTTATGTTAATGATAGCCTCTATTTCACATTCAACTGGACATGAAAGTTCAGAAACTTTTTATCCATTTCTTAAGAATTGGTTTGAGTCAACAAATTATCAATTCTTCATCTCTTTTCCATTTCCTTTTTACCACCCTACTTGAGAGTCTCATGTGTAATAGGCCTCTTTTTCATTCTCTGTACTCAGCACATAGTATTAAGTACATATACACACCTATAATGTGCTAAGTACTATGACTAGTGATGAAGATATAAAGAAAAAACTCTACCAAGCCCTTGCCTTTCATGCAGTCACAATCTAAGTGAAGAGAATGAAATAAAAATAATAGATGGTACAAATTCACATTCCAAAGAAACAATAACCAATCTGACCTGGGAGTTAACTGGATGGAAGGTAAAAATAATGTGTCAAAAACAGCCAACTAATTGATTTCAGGAGAAAATGAGCTTGATAGAACAGCATTTATATAGAAATATCCAGTGAAGAAGTAGAGAAATGAAGACTAGAGACCAAGAGACAAATTGCAGACACAGGAATCAACTGTACATAAGTGACATCTGAAGCTACTAAGAGAAATTTCTAAGTAAATTTATTGAATGTATAAAGTGCTGAATACCAATACAATACTTTGCTCACATTCAGGAAACAAAAGGAAGAATCAAAACAAGAAGAGCAGCAAAGCAAGAGGACACACAAGGAGGAGCAGAACTTAGAAAGGAGACACCCCTTCAGGAAGCAGTGGTAAGTATTTGTTGTTACAGAGCTTAGCATCAGATGCTACTGGTTAATGACCCAATATCCACTCTTCCTGATTCTTTATAGAATGCTGATTTTGTCCAGATTTATCTGATTTTACCTAATGTACCTATATGCCTCAAAAGACAATGGATCAGACTGATCCAAAGATAATCTTACTTCCTTTGCCTGTGACTGGCTAAGAAACAGGCTATGAACCAATTCTGGCCAATGCTGATGAGATAAAAGGAGGACTTTCTCAGGAAACACATGGCCCCATATATAACTATTTTATATCCATGAGAGGGACTTGTTCTCAGGATGAAGTTGATGCTGAGGATAACAGATACTGAGAGGAAAAGAATCTGGAATCTCAATGACATCAATGAGGTACTGTGGCTACAGTAATGTAACTAGAAGTTGCCTAAAATCATGCTTAATGGTTTTGTGAGATATTAAAATGTCCTTACAGTTTAAATCACTTTGAATCAGAATTTTCTATTATTTGCGGCCAAATGCATCCTAATAGACAATGACTTAATAAATATTTTTTATTTATTTGGGAAAGAGAAGGAAGAACATAAAAGAAAGAAGAGTAAGTAGAGAAGAACAAAAAGATAAGGTAAAGAAAAAAAATGAAACATCTTTCTAAAATTATGTTACAAAGAATTAAGGTGGAAAAAGGCAGGATGAGAAAAATCTGCTAGGTGCCCCATTTTTTTTTAAGTAAAATATACCGTGAGTCCATTTATCCAACCATTTTTAATGCACAGCTATCATTTTCAAGATTTTGTTAAAGATATTAAAAATCTGCAGTCTAAAAAAAAGAAAATCTGCAGTCTATAAGACACCAGCTTCCTAAAGCCAAAAAAAGAGGTTGGTACTTGCTTAAGTGGAACTTAATCAAGCTGAAGCACAGTGAACAGGACAAAATGATGCGAAGTGATGATGTGGGTGGGTGGGGAGAAGGGCAAAGCACAAATAACCCAGGACTTACCGGGCATGTTAAAGATTTTTGCATAATCATAAAATGCATTGCAAAGCCAAGGAGAGATTTGATCAAAGTAACTGAGAGACCACAACCAGCTACTATATGTAGAAAAAACTGAAACTGAGGGAAATACAATGGGGGGCAGAGGTCCCCAATCCCCAAGGCCTCAGACCAATGAGTCCATGGACTGTTAGGAACTGGGCTGCACAGCATGAGATGAGTGACAGGTGAGAGAAACTTCATCTGTATTTACAGCCACTCCCTATAGCTCACATTACCACTTGAGCTCTGTCTCCTGTCAGATCAGCAGCGGCATTAGACTCTCATAGGAGAATGAACCCTACTGTGAATTGCATGCAAGGGATCTAGGTTGTGCACTCCC